CTCCGACACGAGCCGCGCAATCTCGCGCTGGCAGGCCGCCACCGTCGCCGATTCCACCCGCTCCGTTTCGTCGACGAGCACGTCCTCGTACACCGCCTCCTCGTCGCTGCCGGCGTCGGGGGTGCTGCTGCTGGGGGGGCGGAAGCGCACCTTCAGCGCATGCTTCACGTGCCGCGACGGCTGCATCAGCATCGAAACGGTGTCCCGTGCGGCGCTGAGCGACAAGAGTTGCTGCTGCTGCTGTGAGACGGCCGGCACCACGCGCACCTTGCCGTGGCTCGTCGATGCTGAGCTGCACCTGCTATTCAGCAGCAACCGCACGATGTTGTTATCGTCAATGACAGCGTTGCTGGTGACACTGCTGTCGCTAAAGCCGCTCTTCCTGCCGCTCTCGTCGCCACGGTACAACTCCTCGTCGTCTCCGTCGTACTGCTCCAGCAACATGTGCCGCATACTGCGGTAGTTGCCGACGGCCGCTGTGCGCCGCACGTCGTTGCGCCACCGCCCCGCCGCCGACGTGAAGAGCTCCGTGAAGAAGTTCACCACTTTGTGGTCGAAGCAGTGGCGCAGCGCCAAATCACAGCCCAATCCGTACGCCTCCGTCACCGTCACGGTGTGTTGTGGCAGCACCAGCGTGCCGGGGATGTGGTGGGTGTAGTTCTCATTCAGCATCAGCACAATAATGAGGCCGAGGTTGTACTCGCGGTCGAAGAAGCGCAGGTGATCGATGATGTCGTGGAACGGCTCGTGCGTGAAGGCGTCCACTATGACGAGGCGCGCCACCATGTCGGGCGGCACCAGCGCCCGCTCCGCGTCATGCCCCTCCGCGCTGCAGACAGAGGAGCACGGACTCACACGCCCGTCCGCACTGTGCTCACTCGGTGCTGCTGCCGCTGCTGCTGCGGCGGCCCTTCCATCCGCCCGCTGCTGTGCGGCCTCCATGGGCCGCAACGTCCCGCCAGCAGCATCAGCAGCGGACTTTGATCCCGGCGACCCCATTGCCTCTTCTTCTGCGGTGTGGGCGATGACGTAACCGCTCTTCCGCGCGCACGTGACCTGCTCCTGCAGGATGGCCGTCGCCTCCGTGAGTGTCTGCGCCTCCGACACGCGCCAGCGGTGCATGGCGAGCTGCGACGACATGACGGCCATCGTCAGCACGTTGGCGGAGAGGAGCATCGCGTGCGAGCGGTCGCCGCGTCGCGGGATTTTGCGCTGCAGCTCCACCAGTGCATCCATCTGTGTGATGCGCTCGTCGCGTGTTTTGGTGCCATGCATGAGCACCTTCTCCATGGCGTCGTTGTGCAGCAGCTGCTCATACGCGGCGTCGCGCTCCGACTCGCGTTGCTTCTGCTGCGTCTGGTGGTAGCGGCCGCTGAGCCGCTGCACCGCAGTCATACTTTGTCCCTATCTCTCTCTTTTCCCCCACCGCACAAGACTAATACACACAAACCCAGAGACTGCTGCGAGTCCCGTTTGCTTCCTTCCGCGATGGATGGATCCACTGCAGAAATGCCAGCGCGACAGAGGCAGGGGGGGGGCAGAAGGATGACCGAAGAGGAGCAGAGGAAACAACATGCATCACACACACAGACACAGACGTGCAGCAACGGCCTGTTCGGTGGCACACACACACACACACACACCCCACATAATGACGCAGGCAACAACAAATAGCCCCAGCACTGTACGCCCTTCTGCATAGGAGAAAAGAGAATCTGCCGTTCGTATTTCTTTTTTGTTTTTCACCCTCCCCCCATTCATCTTCCTTCCTCCTTCTTGCATTTATCCATTATTGCGGTTCACACACCGGTGGTGTCGCGGGCACACCGTCAACCCTCCTTGCTGTTGCCTGCGCTGTTGTTGCTGTTGATGCTGTGGCCTCGCCATCGAGCCACGCCGTCGGTGGCCCTGGCGCCTTGTCGTCCTTCACGAAAGCAAAGCAGACACCGCGCGGCCGGCCGGACGCCGGCAGCGACGAAAGACTCTGCGCGCCAGCCGCGAGAACAATGATGAGGCTGTTGGGCGGCGCCGCGCGAACAACCTGCAGAACACGCCGATTCGTCTCGTCCACACGCTCGAGCTGCAGCTCCTCCCACGACCGGCGCCCCTCCCCGTTCTCCTCCGGCTGTTCGTCCCCACGCACGACCGTCTCGCTGAGCTGCAGCCACGTCAGGCCGTAGGAAGCCGGCACGCCGTCCGGCGCGTGCTGCCTGGTCGCTTGGCGCCGCTGCAGGCACCGCACCGCCTTGCGCGTGG